AATTTATAGGAAATTAAACAAATGTTAAATATTAGAGCACAAGCTCAACTAAATAAAAAGCAAAATAGCAAAAACAAATAGCAGAGGTAAATGTACAAAATGTTAACATTCATTGACTCTATTTAGTGTTAAAATCAATGTGTTGAGTTTTGTGTAGTTTGTCAACTTTTCTGCATTTTATACATATGCTAAAAGGACAATTGTTATATCCATAAACACATATGCACAAGGAGTTATATTTAAAAAAAAAAAAGGTTGCATGGAAAAAAGACCACTTTAGAGAAATTCATCCAAACCACCATATGCTCTCTTAGCTTTCATCTCCCATTTCCCCTCAGGCTCTGGCTCTCTCCCTCATGCCAGCTTAGTTTCTCATCTTTAGCCACCACATGTAAAAACACATCTCAGCTAGTCCCTGTCTCTGTTGTCCCTCCTCTTGGGGGACTGCTTTCTTCCCTATTTCTGACCTTGGTCCCCTCCCCCCTTTTTTCTGACTGTTTTTGCTTCCAGGTGTGTGAAGGGCCTGAGACTAGTCATAAGGCCTGACCAGTGTTTCTGAGGTTTAGAGTGTGGTAGTACTGGCAGCAGCTTCAATGGGCAAACCAGTCTGCAGCCCAGCCATAAGTGAACTTCAGGGTCCGGAATTTCATGGTGTTCATATTAGTTTTTTATTTCTGTGTGACAAATTATCACAAATTTAATGTCTAAAACAACATATATTTAGTAGTTCAGCATTTCAGTGGGTCAGGAGTCTGAGGACAGCTTAGTAAAGTCCTCTACTCTGGGTCCTACAAGGCTACAATCAAGGCATCACCTGCACTGTATTTCTTTTGGGAGCTTGGGGTCCTCCCCTGAGCTCATGTGACTATTGTAAGAATTCAGCTATATAACTGCCAATTCCCATCATGCCAGCTGTAGACTGCTGTCAGCTCCTACAGGACTGGAGACTGTTCTCAGCTCCTATAGGTTTCTCTCAGGTACTTCCCATGTGGCTCTTTCCATAGGTCTTCTCACAACATGGGAGTTGGCTTTATCCAGGCCAGTAAGACCATCTGTTTGCCTTTAAAGTGCTCACTGGGTTAGCTCGGGCCAACACAGGATAATCTCCCTTTTGATTAACTCAAAGTCAACTGGTTAGAGACCTCAATGACATCTGTGGGAAATCTCTTTTGCCAAATAAAGTAATATTACCACAGAGGTGATATCCCGTTATACTCAAAGGTTCTGCCCCCACTCAAAGGGAAGGGGTTAGAAAAGGATGTGGGTCACTGGGGACGATCTCAGAATTCTGTCTATCATAGGGGTACCTTCCTGGCTGTCACAGACTTGAGGCTCAAGTTCAGTATTCTACACACTGAGTTGTG